AAAACACTAGGCTATAGTTTCCAGAATCCAAATTTGAATTCCCAGATTCAAATTCTAGATCTGAAATTTTGAAGTCTCTTTTCCATCCTAAAATCTCAAAAAAAAAAATATACAAAAGCTACAGAAAATTCAAAAAAAAAAACGTACAGTTCCATTCATTTCTTAGGTTGATTTCAAGTTTAGTGGTTGATTTGCATTTCTTAGCTCAAATTCTGATAGCTGAGGTTCAGAATCATTCCTGGTTTGATTTCGATTGAGTTTTGAGTTCAAACAAGTCAGTTTTGGGTCAGTTTAGTGGGTTTTTGATTGCTGAAATGTTCTTGGGTGTTTGAGAAGTTATTTTGATTCGAAATTGCTCTTGATGTTGCTGCGTTGATTAATCCATTACTGGATTTCTGAAATTGTTCCTGAATTGCTGTTGAGTCCTGCTATTGCTGCTGACTTCTCTCATTTCCTATTCCTTTCTAATTCCAGGTACACTTCGAGACTGGTTTGATGTAGCATCTCCTGTTGAAAACATGAAATGAAATTGAAGCCCAAAATTCAGATATTGCCTTGTAATTTTAACAATTCTGTATGTTTTAGATAAACTTTTGTGATTTGATTAGTGGCATATTGTTACTCCTGTATGCATAGTGGAACTAAAACTGGGCTGTGTAAGTAGTAATTTGGACCATTTCGGACTGTTTTGACTCATGGTTACCTAGCTGTAGACTTGTAGTAGCTTCTGTATGCTGTCCTGATTGTAAATTGCTGAACACACTTGTATTAACTTGTAGTAACTTCAATAAGCGTTTAGTCTAATTGAATTGTGGGTCTCTTTGGTTTAACAAACCAGTCTATTTGCAAGTCGTTTGGGCCTCAATATTTTAGTGAACGGCCCAAGTCCAGTCAGATTTATGTACTCGTGGGGACCTGGGCCTAAGCCTATGAGTGCCTGTGTGTTTCACCAATAATCAGGCTCGTTGACAGCCAAAATCACAAATAAAAGTCAGTAAGGAATCTAGGCATTTAAGGGTCTCAAACGTGACCACTTTTGAGGTGAATAAGACTTGGGCCTGAACCTGTTTAGGGCCCAACCTCGGACAACCTGTCCCTTGTGAGGTCAATTGAGTCTCCTCCTTTTAGGCTGTTATGAAGCCCAATCTGCTGAAGATCCCATGACGACTATTAAAGTTTTGCTTGATTTAATATCATGTTATAATACCTTTCAATGCTAGTTTACACCGATTAATAAAGGCTTCTTCTTTTATTAGAGACAAATTAAGTAGAAAATCATAGTTTACTTTAGGACTAGACTTCAAATAATAAACGAGACGAGCCTCGCTAGACAAAGGCCCTCGATAAGTGTTTGTGTTAAAATACCTAGACTTCAGGATGGGCCGTTTAGCGAATTTCACGGCCTTCCCCAAAGATAATAACGCGTTAGCCTCTTTAAGCGCGTATTTTAATAACATTACCTTCCTAAACTCGGGTGCGCATTTATGTGACCCAAATCCAAATCTCAACGAAGTCAAAATGTGTCAAAAATCGCGGGTGCATTTATGTGACGCGGTTCGATAAAAGCGGTTAAAAAGCACATAGATTAAAACATGTTTTGAAATCAGATAAAATCAAATACAACAGTTGAGCGACCGTGCTAGAACCACGGAACCCGGGAATGCCTAACACCTTCTCCCGGGTTAACAGAATTCCTTATCCGAATTTCTGGTTCGCGGACTGTTAACAGAGTCAATAATTTCCTCGGTTCGGAATTCAACCGGTGACTTGGGACACCATTAATCTCCCAAGTGGCGACTCTGAAATCACAATAATAAATCCCGTTCCGACTGTCCTTTAATTGGAAAAACTCCTTTATGCCCTCACGGGTGTAGAAAAAGGAGGTGTGACACAATGATAAGCAACAACGAAGATGAAATAAACATGGAACTTATACCGATAACATCAGATAGAATTGAAGAAATTGCAGAAACTTCTTGTGCTTCTCAGAAATCAAGAAAAAGAGTGAGGAGAAAGCTGAAAGAATCTCCACCATGTAAAATACTTAGGCACGATGCGTTGCCTGAGGAAATAAGAGTCGGATCAATTTTTGAGAACAAACAAAACATGACTAAATTTTTCTGCAGCTTGGAGATAAATCAGAAAGTTGAATTCACTGCTGTTAGATCATGTTCAAAGAGATACGAGCTGAAATGCATTGTGGACAAATGTGGCTGGAATGTACGTGCTACCGGAATAAAAAATTCCACACTATTCAGGGTGATAAAATATCATAACATCCATGAATGCGCGGTTGATGCAAGAAAATCAAATCAGAAGCATGCTACATCAAATTTTATAAGTGAACAAATTATAGAACATGTTCGAGACAAAAAGATAGAGGCTACACCAGCCTTTGTAGAAAATGAAATGAAAAAGAAATTTGGAATTGACATTAGTTATCACAAGGCATGGCGTGCTATTCAAAAATCTGTTGCTTGCATAAGGGGAACACCTGAAGAGAACTACCGGATTCTTCCTTCATACCTACACATGATGGTGTGCAAAAACCCAGGAACGTACACAAGCATAAAAAGAGGTGGGCAGAATAGGTAAGCAAAACAATACTAACCATCAGCCTCAAGTTTCAAATGTTCCTATTTGAAAATTTTCACATCTTATGATTTGTTTTTTTGTGTTTCACTGTACAAATTTGCTTACATGTTCTTTGCTCCTGCGGCATCAGTAGCTGGTTGGTCCTACTGTAGACCCATTATTTCAGTAGATGCAATGTCTTTAAAGTCCAAATATCGTGGTGTTCTATTTGTTGTTGTATCAAAGGATGCAAACAATCAAATCTTTCCTCTATGTTTTGGTGTAGCGGAATCAAAAAACAATGAGGCATACATTTGGTTCTTCGGGGAAATGAGAAAAGCAATTCAAGTCCGTCTTGAATTGGTTTTCTTGTCAGATAGAAATAAATCGATTGCAAATGGGATTAAAAAAGTTTTTCCTGAAGCTCACCATGGTATCTGCCTCTATCACTTTGAGAAAAATTTAAAGCAAAGACATGCAAAAGCTACGGTAATAAATCTTTTTCAAAGTGCTGCAAGGTCATACAAACGTGAAGATTTTAATCAGTTAATGTCCCAACTCAAAAGTATTGACAAGAAAACATACAATTACATAATGGAAGAGCCTCCAGAGAGATGGGCTCGATCGTGGTTCCCACGGCGATGTTATGATATGCTAACAACAAACACGGTAGAATCAATGAATTCCGTTTTACTAAAAGGGAGAGAAATGCCTATTTTAAGAATGTTAGATTTCATCCAAGAAAAGTTGGGAGAGTAACTTTACGAACGGAGAAAAAAGGCAAATGAAACTTTTCACAGAGTATCAATATGGGCAGAAGAAGAGATGACTAAGAAGATGGACTTGGCTTGTAAAATGTTTGTGAGTATATTTATTAACTTCAGCTTTTTATATCTGTTGTAGTGATTTACTTCTTACATTTAAAAAATTTCATACTTTTTCTTTTTGAAGCAACAATACACTAATATAGTTTGTCTTAATTTTTTATTCCTTGTTAGGTGTTCAACCTTGATTCAATGTTGTTCAGAATAAATAGTGAAGGAATCGAATTCATTGTGGACTTAAACAAGAGAACTTGTGACTGCCTGGAATTCCAACTTGATGAATTGCCCTGTCCACATGCAATTGCTGCTATTAATAAGAGATATATGCAGAAATCTGATTACTGCTCAAATTGGTATTCAAGGAAACATGGTTGAAAACATATGAAGGACATGTGAATACCGTGGGAGATCAAAAATCATGGGATATACCACAAAATGTACAATCTGAGATCACAAAACCTCCCGATGTAGAGATTTTATAAGGAAGAAGACAAAAGAAGAGGCATATACCTGTGACTGAATCAGTACCATTCAAGTCTACCAAATGCAGTCGATGTAAACAAGTTGGGCATAACAGAACAACTTGCTTGTCTTCTCCAGCACCTCATCCATATTCAAAGAAACACACTGAAAAATACTCCAACCTTCAATAATCCTTGGTCTGAATTTAGACTTTCATTATTGTATGACATATTTGAAATGTGATTTTTTTCATAGGAATAAAAAAAGAAGCTCTTGGACTATTTTATATACTGCTAAAGTACAAATCACTCATTTTTGTTGCGCAAGCTTACATGTTTGGTTACAGTATGTGAAATACACATCCTTAACACAAACACACACATACGCGTACAGCACAAAAAAAAAGGCATGTACAAATAAAATCTTCAGCATCTATAAGCTGAAGTTATAGAAAATGAACTTAATAACTTCAGCATATTCATTAATGAATATGCTGAAGTAAACAAAAAAGCACAACATAAAAACATAAAAAAGAATTACAAAAACTAAACATAAAAACCAACTAAGAAGTATAAAGCAAATACCAACAAATAACAAGGATAATGCAATAGAAAGCTAAGAAGAAAGAGGATGAGAATTACATTGATACAAAAAGAGATGAGAACAACATACAAAGTACAAACAAAAACATCAGCTCTCTGGGCTGAAGTTATACAAAATGAACCTAAAAACTTCAGCTCTATGGGCTGAAATAACCAAAAAAACACAAGCATAAAACATAAA